AGGCTTTGTAGGGAGTAGAGAAGGTATGGAACTACCATTAGGAGGCCTTCTCTCAGACAGCAGAGATAGATAATGAGGATGAAGGAGCAAGAAAGCCCTGACCAAGACTGGAAGGTGTCAACATGCACATCTAGAAATCATGTCTAGCCCATGCACTCCTCCTGCAGTACCTCAGTACATGACAGAAGAGAGTGGGCATTTGGCATAGTCTGGCACTCTGGGTAGAAAATTTAAGGAAAAGAGGGATCTGGGAGGCCACATTGAAGTGACTGATCATGAAGGGACTAAAATCTTAATGAAGGAAATGAGTAGGCTCAATGGATGTGGGAGAATGGGAGCGGAGGGGATAAGGAGGCTTCACTAAGGGATAAGGGTAGAGAATCTCCACGTCTGAGAGCTCAGTGCTGACACAATCCTAAATTATATCAAAGTCAAAGATTTGTCTCTATTTCACTGTTGAATTTATGTTACTGGACGGACAACCTTGTATAAAAACAATTTCTATATGATATGGCCCAAAAAAGTTATATTTTTTCCTATAGTCAAAATATTCTCATTTCTATCTTTTAAAAAGTTTTAGGATGGGCACAATGGCTCAAACCTGCAATCCCAGCACTTTGGAAGGCTGAGGTGAGAGGATTGCCTGAGCCCACGGATTCACGACCAGCCTGGGCAGCTTGGCGAGATTTCACCTCTACAATAAGTCAAAAAAATTAGCCGGGTGTGGTAGCACACTCCTGTAGTTCTTGCTGCTAGGAAGACTGAGGCAGAAGGATCACTTGAGTCCAGTAGGTCAAGGCTGCAGTGACTGTGAGCGTGCCACTGCACTCCAGCCTGGGCGACGAAGTAAGAATCCAACTCAAAAAAAAAATGTTTTAAAATTGGTTTATAAGATTTTTTGTTTGTTTGTCTTTATGAGGCAGGATCTTGCGATGTTGCCCAGGCTAGTCTCAAACTCCTGGGCTTAAGTGATCCTCTTGCCTCTTAAGCTGGGATTACAGGCACATACCAGTATGCCCAGTTAATTTCCTTTTTTTTTCTTTTCCATTTCTTTTTTTTTTTTTTTTTTTTTGAGTTGGAGTCTCACTCTGTCGCCCAGAATGGAGTGCAGTGGTCACTCCCGGCCACCACAGACAGCCTCGACCTGCCGGGCTCCGGCGATCCTTCCGCCTCAGCCTTCCAAGTAGCTGGAACTACAGGCACACGCTATACACCCTGCTCATTTTTGATCTGTTATAGAGATGAGGTCTCGCCAAGTTGCCCAGGCTGTTCTTGAACCTGTGGGCTCAGGCAATCCCCTCACCTCGGCCTCCCAAAGTGCTGGGATTACAGGCTTGAGCCACTGTATCCGGTCTCCATCTTTTTCTATGTTGGCATGATGTTGTCTTTATCCTTTCTTAAAAAGAGTTATACTTTTGGGGTTTCTTTATTCATTGTGATAAAATACAGATAACATAAAAGTAACCATTTTAACTATGTTTTAAGTGTGCAGTGCAGATATACTTTTTCTTAAGTGCCCAAAGTGTCATTCAAGTATAAAATAATAATAATATACTGTCATGGAGGGGATTGTTTTTAGTTGAAAAGTTAAAGGGTTGTTACCTTTTTTGAGACCCAAACTTTGTTTTCAAATGCTACTGCATTGAGAAATCCAGGAATCAAAGAACCGCTGCCTTAAACGAAAGCTGAGCTGTAGAGGAGTTGAGAGGTGAAGGGTGGAAAATGACGAGAACAAGGCTATAGGCAGAGGAATGTGCTGTGAGTGTGTAGACCAGACTTGCTTAAACAAAATGTTCTTGTAAAAGAGGAATGAGTTAAGTTTGGGTCCATTTAAAAATATTTAGGACCTGATGATGTTCTGCTCATAGTAGAAAACTCAATTAATATTTACTAGTTGGTACTATACAGTGCAACTATGTAACTAAAAACTATTCGTACCCCCTAAAGTTATTAAAGAAAAATTAAAAAATAAAACAAAATAAATATTTGCTACTTGAGTTTACTACCAAATACTGATTTGGTAGTAAAAGTTTGAGTCAGATTCAGAAGAGCCAGAAAATAAAGTTTGAATTTCATTTCACAGACCAGAGCTTTCCAATAGATATGCCAAGAACGGGCATTGCTAAGCTCTGACTCACACTTCAGGGGAGTCAGGCAGGAGCTGGGGAATCTGATCAGCTCTAGCCCAGGTGTATTCTAGTATGTTATATTGTATCAATTGTCTATATGCCATGGGTGGAAGAGGATGGGGAGCAATGGGGAACCACTAAAGATAACTGAGCAGTGATGATGTAAGAAGACAACAATTTTCAGAAAGACTACTGCTATGGCTAATTGCTGTGGCTTGAATATTCATGTTCCTGCAAAACCCATATGTTGAAATCCTAACCCCCAAGGGGATGGTATCAGGAGGTGAGGGTCTTTAGAGAAGTGATTAGATCATAGAGGTGAAGCAATCATGACTGGGATTAGTGTCCTTACAAAACAGACCCCAGCAAGTCATTGGTCCCTTCTACCATGTGAAGACACAGCAAAAAGGCAGCAGTGTGAGAAAGAGGGCCTTCGCCAGACCCCCATATCTGCCAGCGCATTGATCCTGGACTTCCCAGCCTCCAGAACTGTGAGAAATAAATTTCTGTTTTTTATAAACTACCCCATTTATAGTATTTTGCTAAAGCAGCTGAAACAGACTAAAACCACTATTAACCTGGTGGTAGAGCAAAAGGTGGACCTCAGGCTCAAAGCCACTGGGACAAAGAGTTCCAAGGTATATATTGTAGACATTTGTTAACTTCTTCCCCAAATGTGTTTGTTCTCTCCCTATCATGCTTTTTAATAATACCCTGAAATTTTCCACAAATTGGTCTAGGTGAAATCGACTATACTCCCAGCTCCATGAGTAAGCCCTGATGATTTAATACAACTGGCATTTCCCTTCCTCACACCACACAGAATTGGTTCAGGGATAGGCACATAATCCAGTTAGGGGTTTTTGTTGTTGTTTTTAAAGAAAATTCCTAAGAAAATGATTCTTGTATTTCTCTCTGAAGTTGAACCAGAAAACATGTAACCCTAAGGGTTGTTGGTAGCCATCTTTGGACCATGAAGGTAGAAAACCTAGATGAGCACAGAGGAGATAGAAGGGAGAAATAGTGAGACTAGGTCTAGGTTTCAGCATTTAAGCCATAAATTAAGACTCACTTGGACTCTCCAGTTTCTGTTTAAATTCCGATTTCTGCTTAAGCCAATTTGGATGTTGTTTTCTTTTACTTGCAAGTGAAGGATTGCTAATGCACAAGGTTAATGTGATCCTCAGAATAAGAGAAAAAAAGTAACCTTTGTGGTAATCTAGCCCTCTGGATAAAGAGTAGCTGTTTAAGGGGGGGAAGGGGGTTTAGGAGTCTACACAGAAGTGATTAGCCATCAAGGGACGTGGGTGGCATTGGGATGGAAAGGAAGGGCTGGCAATGAACTTCAACATGAAAGGAAAAGTGCACACCAGAATGGTGTCTTTTGTGCACCTTACTTTGATTAACACGCCTGCTTTCTCCTGAGGGATATCGAAGGCTCCAAATCATTCCCAGGGAAAAGGGAAAGGGTTGCTTGAGCAATTATGAGGGATAAAAAGAGGGGCTAAAAACTGGGGGGGGGGGATTGTGAAAGAGTTAGATTTTTAATTGAGGAAGACAAAAGAGGACCTAAAACCAAGGGAGGGCAGCATTACATAGTCGCTAAGGACATGTTCTAAGGCCCAAGCGTGACTTACTAGTGGTCTCCATTCGCCTAAGCTTCCCCTCCTTGTCAGCAAATGAGCATCAAAGTAAAAGTGCCACCTTTACAAAATAACTGAGGCTTCCAAAATATAATGCGGGGAAAGCCCCTAGCAGAGTGTCTGGGAGGAGTAAGCACGTACTATTGGTGGTTATTTTACAAGAATAAAGGAGAGATGATCCCAGGAGCACGTACATAGA